AATTCTAGCAATACAAAATTGTCCTGGACCTGGAGTCCATTCATGTTTTCCAACGACTTGTCACTCCTTCCACATATCGGCAAATTCATCCACCTCCATAGGATTAGACAATTGATGTATCTTTCTCCTGGCCTTTGCTTTGACTTTCTTTGCATATTTGCCAGCCTTCTGTTTTTTCTCTAGTGATCGGATCTGGAGTGGTGATGTTAATAGATAAATATTAGTAACTGTACTTAAGAAGTCAGTTCTTCCGCAATATATACAAATCTTTGCTCATAGGGGAAGCAGCAACCGGCATGAAGAAAAATGAATCTCTGCTCATAGGGATGAATCTTACCTGATTGGGTGCAACATAAAATGGGTTCTCATAAAGAGTAGGGCCACCAAAGCTACCACCAAAGATCTTAATTGGGTTCAAGCAAAACCTTGGACCAACCTGCATACATAATTACACAACTTCAATATCAAACATGATGGTTACTCTAGGACTATTCATAGTTTGATTTCAAACCTCAACAAGTGTCATCTTTTCCAGGTCCCCACGGTCTATTTTCTGTGTTGCTCCATTATGAGGACAAGATATCTGCTCCAGAGAGTCAACAAAGTGATTTGAAAAAAGGTTACAACACTTGGTAAAGAGAACCTTAAGAAATGACAGAAGCCTTTGTTAATACAAAGGAAAAAAGAAATAACAGAAGGCTTTGAGGTGAATGATACACATATTAGACATCCTTTTCCCCTTGCAGATAAAAAATATCAAATCCTATAAGTCAGCAGATTCTTGGCATGCAATTTGTACCCATACCAAATGGACCACTAGGATTTGATTTTGAGGTTGAGGGTAGAAATATGGACTCCCTCTTCCACAAAAACAAGTGTAGTGGTAGGGTGGATTAAATGGTAGAAAACTTACACACCCTGGCTTCCTGGACTAGTAATATCAGATGATCTCACGTATCACTTATCCCACATTTATGACTAAAAGACTATATATTCTCTCTGTTCCTTTCTATATTCGTTTTCTGGCTGTACCAATTCTCAACCTCTTATATTGGCTGAGTAATTATATTATCCTTTTGAACTGAAGGATGAGGGTTGAACCTATAGCCAACCCCAAGAAATTTCCTACCAGAGGACAAAAGGGAAATACTTGAAGCACACTTTGTTATGGGCAAGAGATGGACCATATAAATAACTCATTTCTTCAAGTCAGAGCAACGCTCTCAATGCAGGAAATTTACTATGGTATGAGTAGTAACGAACCTGGTAATTACGGAACCACACGTGGTCATCAAGAATTGAAAACACAATTACATGATCATAGAAAGGTTTAGATTTCCGGTGATCCTTTGGGGTTCCAAAAATCTGATGAAACAAAATAAAATAATGTGTTAGAATGTCATCAGAGATGGTTAAATAATCATGCCATGAGAAAGCTAAATATTTACAAAGGAATTAAAAAATGGAAAATGAATGCAACTCAAACAAATAAACTACTGCATTTGAACCTTCAACCTCTAAAAGAAATCAGATTGAACAATTTATTTTTTTACGAAAATGCTCTAACCATCACTTAATTTGAATAGCAAGAACGCATTGAAGAGTCACTGCAAGCAACGAGCTTCAATGAAGAAATAGCAGCAGAAACCGAAGAAAGTGCTTGTTATATGATTGCAGCCCAACTTTTTCACTAAAAATGGCATCTTAAGTAACCAAAAAACTATATTAAAGTAAAAGTAGGTTTTCAGCTTCAGCCTCCTTGGACGACGGAATAACTTAAAAGTTAAGCTAAACATAATAGGTAATAAACTGAAAATGTACTATAAAAACCAACTGTCTACATTTAGTTACAAGGAATTATCACAAGGATTAATGCTCTGAACAGAGTCAAACTACCTGTATGAACATTTCTTTCAAAAGCTTCCAGTGAGGCTGTTTATCGAAATTGCTTGAGAAAGTCAAAATAGGGCGTGAACCCTTCAAATGATTTCCAGTCAGTTTTAATTCTTCCATTGTGTGCACTTCAAAAACAAAAGGAAAAGCAGAATAAGTTGGACCTTTCCTCATTCAAGAAAATATCACAAGTGAGATGAAAATTTTCACAAACAATTTCAAGTGCATTCCAATTATACATGAACATCAGAACGTGATTGATAAAAAACATCTAGTTGATTACCTGCAATGACTAAAAATACATGAACATCAGAACATGATTGATAAAAAAACATCTAATTGATTACCTGCATTGACTAAAAACTTCACGGATGGACCATTGGGGCATTTCGCCATCCAAAGATAGAGGTCTTTTCCCTTCCGGCACTGAAATTAAGAAAATGGAACATATATAAAAGCAAATGGAACATATATAAAAGCAAACTTAGGATAATGATAAAAAAACAGAAGCAATGAAACCATAGCTTCTAAAGGATAAAAAAACGAAACGTCTTTCAGCAGAATTTCTATTGAAATGGTCAAAACAGATAGAGGCAATTCCATAATCACATGTTAAGTATATTTTTCTAAAACAATAAGTCCTAAAGCCTCTATTAGCCAAAATGATATGCGTATGGTATTCTCTGCAACAACTCGAACAGCCTCTGCTATATGCCATGAGGTTATTTCAAGAGGCTATCCGTCTCCCACCTGAAAAAATGAACTTCCCTAATATTTCATTCTTCCCCAGGTTATAATCCAAAAGTAAGTCCTTCAAAAACCCAAACATTTGACCATTAAGACAAGCAATTTTATGGCTGTTTTGGTGCATTTTGGGATGATTGCACCAGGGTGGGGAAGGAAAACGGTGATGGGAATATTTGGTTGCATATGGAAGAGGTATAATCTTGTATAATGAATTTCCACACTGGCAACGAGCTTAAGAAGTATGTTCATCTTTTAAATGCTTCAGCACACTATTTTATGGTTTTAATCTTTTGATTAGGTGCATCTAGAACTGGAGACATCCACAGGATACAATGCAAATGATACTCCAACTGACACTAGGTTGTAGGCTTGACCAAGAACAACCTACAGTTATTTTTTATATTCAGGAGTAACCTAAACTTCACATTATATATGCATCTTCGGCGCACAGGTAGTTTAACAAAATGCTTTGTTTGCTTTATTTTAAACAAAAAGGCTAAAAGAGAACAGAACTTACCAATCAAATAAACAAAGAGGGGAAGAGCAGAAATTGAACTTTGAAACTTCATATGAAGTCACAGTCAAAATGCAAAAAGGTAGCAGTGAGTGCTTCAATCAGGCTGATTTTTCTCAGTACATAAAAAATATTCAGAGCACATGAGTAGGAATATTGGGCAAATTAAACCAAACCAAAAGAACAGAATTAGATAGTTGTCCGATGCATGAGGAGTTTATACAGTCCTAAATCCTAAAAATCTGAAAAACAGTGCGAAAAGTAGCTGTCCCGATAATCACTTTAAGCTCAATTGAAAGGCATCTGAAAGAACTAAGCTCAATTGAAAGGCATCCCAAGGATGCACAGACAAGTTAAATACATGTAGCCACTATTAGACCTTGCTTCAGTGTAGTAGCCCGTAAATCACACAAGAGAGGTATGCTATGTAACAAGCTGCTCAAGTAACACCAAATCTTATAGCAAGAAAACTGAAACAGCAAGGATACCTCAAAGAACAAACAAGAGGAACAGCTCTTCAACTCAACTAGCTCATTCAACGTTGCACCTTTAGAATCTTTAGACTCCACCTTGTTATCCTTCTTACAGTGAGGCAAAAGGGACACCAAATTCAACATTAAATGCCGATACCTAAAATCCACAGAAACCCAACAACAAAAAATCAATCTTTTTGATTATTTACAGCAACCCTTTTGACTAAAAAGCTTAAAAAACACAAACCTGTAATTAATACGACGAGAACAAGTCACCAAAACTTTCTCTTTATTTCTAAAAGTAACTACTGAAGTCTCTTTGTTTTCTTCAGTAGAACCATCTTTAAAACCTAAAAGAGTTCTCTTAGGCCTTTCTATTGCAGTTTCTTCTATGGCCGCAGCCTCTGTTTCTGTGTGCTTCCGCTTCTTTCCCATGGAAAATCTTCAAGAATTTGCTTTACAAAGAATAGCGGCAGGGGTTTAAGCCAAATTGGGACTCTATTTTGTATTTGTAAGGATTTCAATTTGGGCTTTCTTTTGGGGCTTGCTAAGCTATTGGGCTGCTACATTGTTATACAAGGTTTAAATGCGTATCGAATGAGAAATTAGTATTACAAACTTTTTTATTTAAAAACAATAACTTTTATAATAAATATTTTTTTGTAAATTATGTACATATTATTATTTACACTAAATCAAATACTAATATTTAAAATTTACGTAACAAATTTTATGAACACAATAATTAAGGCTTGAAAATTTAAAAAATAAAATGAAATTAGATTCACTCTAAAAGATTCACATATTCCATACAAATCAGGGCAAAAGGAGAAAAATATATATCTAAAATTAAGTAAAATATACTATAAATAATTAATAACTTACATATTTTTAAAATAAATAAAAAAGTTTAGCTTACTCTCGAAATTAGACAACATATATCACATAAAGATTGAATAAAATATATAATAAATCAAAATAATTAACAATTTAAAAAATTATAATATCTAAACTCTCAAAATTTTATCTTTGCTAACAAAATTTCATATGAAAATTACATAAGAAGTAAAAACTTAAAATATTAGAATTTTTTTTCAGACTCAAAAGTCATCTGTTCACATAAATTAAAATATAATAGTAAGTGAGTATTCCCTCAGTTTCACAAAGAATGACCTGATTTAACTTGACACGGAATTTGAGAATATAAAGAAGAATTTTGTATATTGTGGTTCTAAATTAATGTTAGGTTAAATATACAAAATTTTCCTTTCATCTTGTGGCCTTAAACATATCAGATGAAAAACTGATTTTAAAATATTATAGAAAAAAGGTCATTCATTTTTAAACAGATTAAAAAGAAAAAGAGATCTTAAAGTAAAATATATTAGGCCGGGGCTAGAACTTGAGACAGGGGTATTTTGGTCCTTTAAAGCTCAGGGTTCATTCTTCTATACCTTCTCAGTTCTCACTCCATTAACATTTTTCATCAGATTTGTTTGGTTTTTATCTCTTCCCAGGTATGTATGTATGTATTTATTGTATATGTATTATATATATGTTCGAATATGGAACTGAATTTGGTGATTTGTAATTTTGAGGCCTAAACGGCTACAGGGGTTGAGCTGCCCTGGTACAGAAGTGTGTCTGTTTAGCTGATACAATACAATGATAAACTTTTTTAATGGTAAAAAGAATGGAAATGTGAATTTGGGTTTTCATAGTTTTGTGTCTGCTTCTTGATATATGTAGGAAAAATTGGTTCTTGATTATTCAAATGGTAACCAGATTTGTTTAGATGATATGTTGTGTATGTAACCTGTTTGATGAAATGTCTATGAAATTATTTGAGTGTATTTTTAAAAGTTCTCCAATCAGTCAATACATTAATTATATGTGAGTTGTCAATTTTCTTGATATATGTAGGAAAAATCGATTCTTTATTGTTCAAATAGTTTGGATTTCAATGGTACCTAGAAGTGTGTTTGTTTAGATTGTGTATCTAACCTGTTTGATGAAAGAATTTGGGTTTATTTCATTGTTAATTCTTACAATCAGATAGTGAAGTAACTATAGGTACTTTATCATGTTAGTCAGACTTCCATTTTTTCTACTTGTTGTTTATTGTTTAGAAGTGGCTAAGAAGTATGAACACACTGCAAGAACAAGTTATTACCTGAGTTTTACATCAAATTTGGGCTAAGATGTGTATGCATGGCCCTGTATGTTACCATTTCAAAGGAGGAAAACTCATTTTGGACTAGAAAACAGTTTTGTTATAATGTTGGTGTTGTTTTGTTATTTTGTGTGTGTTCTTGTATATGGTCATAGGATAGAAGTTCTCAAACATGTTTGGATATATGGTCCGGTCCGCATGTTTTGGAATGTAGAACGATGATTGACTAAGCAGTAAAATTTCTCTGGCCATCACCTCGTTAAGTAGCTTTAAATTTGTATTTGCATGATATTGATGCCATGCAAGCTAAACTTAGTATTTAAGTGGTGAAGGGTAGCAGGGTGTGCCTGTTATGCCGAGCTCCAATAGGTCATAAGGGTTGACATTAGACAGATTTTGTGATCATAAAAAATTGTCATGAGATGACATGCTCAGTGAGGATTCACGTACTCGACCTCCACTTGTTTGGGACCGAGGCATAGTTGTTAGTTTCTATTGATGTTGTATCAACACTCGGGTAGCTAAACCATTGAGAACCACCATCTCCAAACTGAAGATTCTTTAGAAGTTTAAACTTATCTATGATTATAATTGTTAATGTTTCAGCCATTAAGCTCTATATATGTATATATCTGGAAAACTAAAACTTCATTCTCTTTTCAGTTGTCTCTTACCAAATAAGCTAATGGGTGACAAGAAGAAGGCTGGTGCTCTATTCGTGAGGCTTGTTTCAACTGCTGGAACTGGATTTTTCTATGTGAAGAAGAAGACCAAAACTCTTATAACGAATCAGACGAAGCTTGAATTTAGAAAGTTTGATCCTCGAGTGAATTGTCATGTTCTCTTCAAGGAAGAAAAGATGAAGTGATGCAAACGCCAAACTTTTTGCCAAATCCTCTTTTTAACGGTTCTTTCATTTTTGCAGCAGCCACTCAGTTGTGAAATTAGACAACAGGACCTTTTGCTCACTTGTGCTACCACAATTAAGTAAGTTTGTTTAGTTCTATTTATGCAATTCTCTGAGTTCGTTCGTGATCATGTTGAATGAATATAGTTATAGAAGAGTGACTTTGGACGAACAATTCCATCAATTTACATGTATGATTCTTAAGGTCGATTTGATTTGATATTTTCTTGAACTCCCCTATGTTTGATTGTTGAGGTTTTATTTATGGCAATCAACATGGGTTGAACCCGTAACGGACACCTAACTTACATATTATTACATTTTTTTCCTGGACATGGTAGCTAATGGAAGACCAATATATCAAAATAACATATCATAAAATTAATACTATACAACCACCACATATTTTACCATTGAGCACTTCAAAAAGATGGCTCTCACAAGATTTGTGTATCTCAATCCAACTAATTGAAAATATATATTACAAACCAAACAGTCAGAAACAAATTGTCTCAAAACACAAATGAAAACTAACAGTAATTACAAGAGGAAAAGGTAAGCCGACAGTTACAACAAATATTCAGTGGAATTCAATAAGTGGGATTACGGGATGATGTTATGTAGAGATAGAGAGACTCCTTCTGATAACCGAACTAACAATTGCAAAGTGAACATGTCTCTAAGCAATGAGGAAAGGCAGAATAGTCAGCATGAAGGAATCATAAGTAAATGTTGCTGAGCCAGAGTATGTAATATCCTTCTCCTTGAATTTCTCTGTCAGTCCCTGCACATATACACGACTTTGTGAGAATCGAATGACATGACATGTTTAAGATCAGAACATACACCTCTTAGTCATTCTTAGTGTAAGACGACAAGAATTAAAAGTCTTCTTTGTGATCTTAAAGATTCAGACCAACATTCTCATTTTCCCCCCAATGAACCTTTCTTATATGAATAACATGACACGTTCAAGAGCAGAAGATATAAAGAGTACTTTTTATATATTATACACCTTTTGGGTCTCTATCTCGGGCTAAGGTTCGCATATACTTTATCCTTCTCAAACAACACATATGAGATTATAATAGATATGTTATTGTATAAAGACAAGATTCTGAGATTTCTTTACGATCTTAAACTTCAGACCAACATTTTCATTTCATCCTCAATGAACCTTCTTATAAGAATGACATCGCATGTTTAACATCAAAAGATATAAAGGGTATTTTTGATATGTTATATACACCTTTTAGTGTAAGACGATTTTAAAGTATGTAATCAGCCAAACTAAGACACATGATAAAACGGAAGGGGGGACAAAAGAAGCTTACCTTGACAGTGAGGCAGCACCTAAATCAAGTCCATGAAACAAAAGGAGAAAACGCTAAAGTTAGTAAAAATAGAAGAAAATAATGTTAGGGAAGTGATAAATTGTTAAGGAAACATACTCAATGAAGTTATCATATTCAATGGCCTTGTTCAGTCCACCAGTTTTGTCAAACTTGGAAACCAGCAGCTCCAAAACAGGACCATATACAGCATATCCCAAGCTATGTAAGGCCTCTCTTAATTCAGAGGAATCAATTTTTCCACTCCTATCCTTGTCAAATCTTTCAAAAATTGCCTACACATATTACAAGTTTTTCAATAAGATATAGCATATAAAGTAACACATCTCTCAAATTTGAGAAGAAGTAAATGCACAAAGTCATGTTGCTCGTGATTCTCCAAAAATGTTGTCGCAGTCACGTCGATTCTCAAAATATACACTACTTTTGGAGGATCAGACATGCATCCGCCGATATTTTTAAGAGTCTGAGCAACATAGATCGAAAGGTGGCTATGAGAAATTCAACTTCAACTTACCCTCCAGTTCTGAAGACTATAGAAGACTGCAGTGAATTCTTTGGGACCTGCTTCCATTTAAAAAAAAGGTTGGATTATATGAAAAGAGTTGATGGTAAAAAAACACCTAAAGTATCATCTTTTCTATTTAGCATAATCCATAAACATGACCCGTAACTTGACTTCCATGGACAACTATGTCATCAAATTTTGAGTGTACACAAATAAACACTTAAACTTTATAAAATTAAACAAGCAAACACACGTGTCCTACATGACATAATTCACGTAGTAATGTAGGATAAAATTGTCATGTTAAGGTGCCATGTAGGAAGATGTGTCTATTTGTTCAACTTTATACAAGTTTGAGTGTCTACTTATGTAAACCCAAAGTTAAAGGTCATAGATGTCATGTTAAGAGTCATGTTTATGTATTATGACTTTCAATTTTGGCATAATACATAAATTGGATCCTAAACGTGACTTCAAATTTTAACTTTGACCTCCAACTTTCATAATGCACAAACAGACACTTTAAATATCCAACTTTTAAATAAATAAACACATGAGTCCTACATGGCACAATACACGTAGGACACCATGTAGGACAAAAAATGACATGTAGGATGACATATAGGACATGTGTATCTGTTTGTTCAACTTTATACAAATTTAAGTGTCTACTTGTGCATATTCAAAGTTGAAGGGCATAAATGTGTTTTAAAGCCAAGTTAAAGGACATATTTATATATTATGCCTTCAATTTTTGCTAATACCATAACTCAACAATTCATTTTTCTATTTAACTACCTAAATTATCACTATTTTGCAAATTTCATACCTCAAAACTATCCATTGTTTTATTTAACTACCTAACCTATCACTAGGGGTGTCAATGGTACGGTTCAGTTGGTTATTATTTAAAATTATCATTCCAATTTCTCAGGTATTTTATAATATATAAATCAAAATTAAATTTTTTAAAACCATTCCAATCATATTAGTTTCTCTTTGGTATCGGTACAATTCTGTTAATTTCCGATTTTTATTACTTTTAAAATACCACTCAAAATAGACTATTATTAAAATATTTCTTTCACAAATATGTACTTGAAAAAACATTTTAATTTTTCACCAAGAAGACAAGAATGTAAACTTTATTATTGTATTGTTTGATCTTAAATATTAATAGAAGTGTTTGCATAGGTTTTGTTGTATTGTTTGATGGAGTATCTATTACAATATCTTTTAATTTTTTAAACCTAATTAAGTAAATGCTAATTAAAGAGCAAAGACCCAAAAGTCCTCTAGTCACCAGAAGCCTAGGACCTATGTTATATTTATATCTGAAAAATGTTATAAAACATTTTATATATTAAATTTAACATATTGTTAATAACAAAATATATTTACATACATGTTAATGTTACTTGGTGCGGTTTGAGATTTTTTTGGGGTTTTTCATAAATTAAAATAAGCATCCCAATTTTTTGGGTCAATTATACATTTAAATAAAAGTCAACGATTTTATTGTGAATCGGTTCGATCGATTTTTCATATTCTTTTGATACCCCTACTTATAACCAATTTGCAAGTTTCATACCTCAATTATTCATTGTTCTGTTTATCTTCCTAAACTATCACTATTTCTCAAGTTCCATACCTCAACTATCACTCCTTTTGTATTAAATCACACCTCCATGCTGAGTTGACCTACATACATCTATTGGCGATTAGGAATAACATTTGATCTACACTCTTCCGTTGGTTCCATCACTCTCATTCACTATGCTTTTCAAACCATTTTGTAATGCTTTTATGTGAATTGATCGAGAATCTATCAGACTCACCCCTTTACTTTCCAAGGTAGTAAGGTATGGATAAGGTCGATGTACACACTTCCTTTTCTGGACCCTACTTGTATAATTATACAGACTTGTGCCGACTCTATGCTTTGGATAATTAGGCTTTTGCCTTAGGCCCCAAATTTTGGGGGCTCAATTTTTTTATCAAGAATAAGTTATGTGTTAGAATTTCTATAGAAAAATTAATTATTTATGGAAAAAATATAATTTTTTTTTAAAATATATTATTTTATCCACTTTAGCATCATTTGTACTTTGTTAAAAAAAAGAATTAATAGTGAAAAGTGTCGAATAAAGTAAATTACAAAATCTTTTTTAATGTTAGTTTCAAGAACTACTACAAGCATATTGAAATGGGTATACCAAGTCATCAACTTCTTGCATCAAATCCTATGGTTCTAATTCTTATCTTTATTTAATATTTGTCAACTTATTACTTATATAATTATGTTAACAATTTATATAATAATTGCATCACTGAAAGGATGTTTTTTAATATTGAGTTGATAAAATTTTACATAAAACTAATAACTGAAAAAACAATATTAAAATACTAATAATATTCATCTAAATAGTGTAAGAAAAATAATTTTTAGATGAATACATATATAAATTTTATTTATATTTTAAGTCTCGAATCGAAATTTCACTTTACGCTCTCAATCACGTTGAGCCGCTGGTTATTGTATCGACGTCATAATTATTTTACAATAAAAAGAAATACAACTATTTAGTATTAGAAAAAGAAAAACAAGTTTTTTAACCATGGAAGAAATGTCAGCCAGAGCAGTTGACCTAAATAATGAAATGTGGATTAACAAATAATCTTCCACTCTAATTCTATCTATAAGTACTTTAGTTCACACGCGTTTATAAGGCCTTTTTTCCTACTTTTTTTTTTTAATTCTCCGTGTGGCAACATTTGATAGACACAAAGTTTAAAAAGTAATGAAAACTTTGAAATATTTACCAAATTGTCATTAAAAAAGTAAACTCGTTTTTCTCTGTCTTCATAAATATATTAGAATATTATCTTTACAAGTTAAATGGAAGCAACAAGGATAAACGAGAAATTTTACTTTAAAATATTTACAATATAAGAAAATGTGACATTTTTTTGGGACTGTCAAAAAATGATGTCATATAAAATGAGACGGAGGGAGTACTTTTTTCCCCATAAGTCAATAAGCAAACCTTAATTACAAATTTTAATCCTAAACACACGTTCTTCAAGTGCCCATTTTAACCAAAATACTCCAAAGGTCTCATATTAATGTTCACATTTTTCTTTCGTATTTTACTATAAAAAAAATTAAATTAAACTATTTTTTACTACACTCTTGTCTTTCTCCAAAAAATCACATTTTATTTAAGAAGAAGATTAAGCTAATCTTATTTTAAAAATATTTAATACTAACCATTAAATGGTGTACAAAAAATAACAATTTAATCTTAGAATATGTTAAAACGAAATAATCAATTGGTAGAAGATTTTTAAATATTTGATATATACTAATTA